TTCTAACACATCTAATAGCTGAGGTGATGTAGATTTCTATTGGATTTCTGCGATATCATAAGCTCAGGAAGCAGTGGCCAACTGTGAAAAAACAAAAACAAAACAAAATGACAAGAAATCTGATACATTACTGAGGGGGAAATCAACTATATATTTCTTAAATTCTCAGTCATCAGTCTTACAGTCACTGCAAGATATAATATGTAGCACTGACAGAACACTGGCTGGATCTGGAACTGCCTACTACATGCTACCAACGAACACAGTATGTGGTACTTACTGTAGTACATCCATTTATTTTTCTTTATGCTAGTTCCGTTAAGTTCAGCATAACCCCGCAGGCACTTGTGGGACTCTCCAAACTCCAAAAACGTTGGAGCAAATTTTCATTTGCAGTTAGTTTTCTTAAAACTGCGAATATTCCAAATCTACACACATTATTTCTCACCTCACAAATAGTAAATTTGCTGATGAAATAATGAAAACCTTTCGTTTTTGGCTTGACTGTTGGTTGTAATCATTCCGGCACTTTGTATTTCGGGACACAGTAGGTGAGGTAGACTGGTCCAATGCATACTGGAGATTTTTCCGATTCAGTGTATGACATCCCATCCCCATCCCAGTAGAAACATGGCAGACTCCACTGAAGGCAACCCACAGCTTCTGTACATAAAAACAGCTCATTCTAAGGTAACAAAAACTCAGAGCAATTCCTATATTCAGGTGATTATACACTAATGAAAACATACCTATGAATATTCCATTTCTGCCAGTAGATCCTCCGATTCTCCTGTTACACACTGGACCTTTTAAAGTAGAGAACATCATAATTTACAGCAGATACTGCTGACAAGTTGGATAAAAAGGCACAAATTCAGAGAATACAGCATTCCCTACCATCCAAATATAAGGGAGATTTACTGTGGCCATAACTTTTCCTTATGCCACCTCTCCTTCTGACATTTTTATGGATGACCCCTCGCAGGACTCATCCAAGCTCATCCATCAAATGCGGGTCTCTGAATGGAACAGGCTTACGGATGCCATTAAAACCATTATGGGCTGATAACAATCTCCTCACTTCATCCTCATTTCAGTCATAAAGAAGTTCCATTCATTCTCAATTCATTACCATTCCATATTTCAACAAAATGGCTATGACTACCTCTCTGGGTGATTGTAATCTTGAATTGAATTTTTCTTTCTGCATATCACCACTTATCATACAAAACAGAAGTATTATGTTTCCATTTGTATGTTTGGATTTTGGTGTTTATGGCCCATAACAAAATAATTTAAAACCTGCCAATATCGATTGTTTTTCAGGTGAAATTCTGCCTTTTTCTAAGAATTTCTTTTTTATGCTTGTATGTGTCTGAAGCAGGGCAGTGTTCTTATTCCAGCCCTGCAGGTAAACTTCCTCATGGATGAACTAGCATGGTTCCTCTTGCACACAGATAAAGCGGCTTTTTCCTCGCAGTGGGCTGTAGATGGAGAGAGAGGCAGGGATGCTCTCTCACCTTAGGGGAGCCATGTTGGAGACAAGATGCAGTTTGACTTTGCCAGCCCCGAAAGATAGATGAGAGGAAAATATTTCTCTGCAGCTGTACCATATACTGATTTTTTAAAACCATCTGACAATGTCAGTTTACTATAATATTTATTACTTAACCTAACAAACTGATATGAGCTGACCGCTTACTGGTTTGAACTGTTACTGAGTGCTCAGATCACAGAACTACTCATGGTGGGTTTGACAGTCTGGTCATTTGTATAACCCAAGCCCCCAGGAAGTCCGTAGGGCTTTGAAGCCAATTTGACAGAGTGGCCAAACCCTGTAATGACAGCAATGGCATCCGACCCTGTGGTGTGTACATGAGCCCCAAAAGATTTTTTTTCCAAGAAACAAACTCAGCAGGATAATGAGTCCTCCAAATGTTGAATCCTGAAAAGAGACAGTTTCATCAGTAATAGTTGATAGCTGACACAATATGGATTTGATGAAAAACAGGGCAAAACTTCCTGTATCAGTGATCATAGGCTATGCAGTATGTCGTTGTCTAGCTAGTAGTACACCACTGAAGTTGACAGCGCGTCTCCTAGCAACGCCGACTCTCACTTGTCACTTAACTAATGCAGTTGGAAACACCTACTCAGAGAGGCTTTAGACGTTATCTGCACAATCATGTTGTCAAGTATGTAGCATGTATAGTACATTCAACCATACAGCTGGTGCTCACCCCTACCCCCACCCCCACCCTGGAGTGTAAGGGCCAGGCCAATCTCTACACTTTCAACAACAGGCCATGTAGAAATATATAATTTCTGTGTACTCTTTATGCAAGTAAAATGCTGTATCTTTTTAGTTTTATTACTACACAAACCACACAAAATCTGCTTAGAAAACCAAAATGGTTGAAATGAAGTGTCTTTTTTTTAAGATTTAAGTGTTCTTAAGTTGGTCAATTGCACTTCCAAAATGAAGGCTACAGAAATAAATATTCTAATATATCTTTTTGTGCACTTTTGGAGTGTTGTTGTTTTGCACCTGGCATTTCCTCAGAGCTCTGACTCCACTTGTGTTTATCATCTTGAAACTCTGCTAGTAACTGGAGGTACTTCCACCTGACAGAATAGAATGTACAGGTGCATACGCATCTCCTGCTTTAACAGCATCATTAAGTGTTGATGCCATTGCTAAATTTGATTTAGCATTTTTAACACAGCAGGCCACTGGGAATTCTCCTGGTGCTTCCGATGGCCAGTCCAGTGCCATGAGGACATTATGTATTAAAGAGCTGGTGCGAAAAGGTCTTTTGTTAAAAAACATTCCTGTTGATTAATAATTGATCATCGTCCTATCATTGGAGGTGTTTTGAGAGTTAGACTGTCTGCAATGTGAAGTTGCTGTACCAGCAGTGAGATAAGATGTCAGGCTGTTAGAAGGAATGTGGAAGTTCTCTTCATGGAGTCTGGGTAAGCTCTGGTTTCTGTGATACGTAGCTTATGATTGAAATCTACTTTTCTTTACTGCTGATTAACCAAGGGCAAATAATCTTTGGCCAGTACATATGTCGGAGGGCCATTAGCTTTGAACCGAAGCTGCTGGTTGCTTTAGAAGACAGTGCTGCAGTCAACACCACCTTTGTCGACCCCAAGACAAGTCAAGACTGACGTGATGAGAAGATCATAGTCAAGAACAAGAAAGAAAGAAAAAAAGAGAGTGCCATTGCCAATGAGACGAGTTTTGACAGCTAGGTAACCTAGTAACCATGGTTATTTAACCAGGCGGCCAATGTCGATATCCGTTCTAGATGGATTTTGGATTAAACCAGTACCCGTTTTCTGAACAAGTGCTTCATCAAAGTTACTTCAGAAAGAAAAACTTGCTCGAGACCATCTGGAATATATTTGGCGAAACCAATGGCCTAGTGCAAATACCAACGAGTCCAAGACATGTCCAAGACGATAGAAAAAACTGTTAGAAGATTTAAACCACCACGGGACACTAGTCTCTCACTCTGACCTATTGGCTCATTCACAGTGTAAGTAATAACAGGAAAAGGCAGGTGAGAGCGTGTGCAGTTCACTCTAATTGCAGTCTTGCAGATTGAATCATCAATTCATTTTCATATTTAACTTTCAAAGGCTCCGGAACAACACACCAAAGCATACACTCTTCTCCCTCTTTACATGTGGTCTATGTTGTGTGGGATGAGTCTTCTTTGAGGAAGTGATGCCTGAGGTGTCTGTGTTGAAGAGATGAAAGCCGTGGCCATTTTGTTTCAGTATTTTTTTTTAGTGTGGGGTGGTGGGTGAGGGCAAGGCTTCGTAGCAGAGCACATGAAAGCTGTACTCATGCAGATCCTCGTAGCGTCTTTGTGGCTGATGGATTGTGCTGTGTTGTGGCCGACACCACGGCCTAGTGTTTTTTTTGCTGCGACAGTGAGTTAATTGAAGATGATCTCACAGATAACAACTGCCAGGCCCTGTCCTCTCTTTCTTCCTGGGTCCTCTTCCTGTATTTCCCCTTTTCCTCTTCTACCAAGATGACAAATACAGTCAGTGCACCCTATCCTGGCTTCTCTCTGTGGCTTTCTTCCCATCTTTGCTTGTCTCTGTCTCATCACAAGCATAACCACCGTAACAAGCCGGCTATTTGACAGGAAATGGCAATTTCACTGGCAAGATTAGGCCTTTGATGTTGTTAGGTGATAGCTATCTGCGGTCCCCCTTTACTTCTCCCTTCACCTGCATTCCTCTGTCACATGTTGAATATTTCTGAAGGTTCTGCACAGGGTGGATCTGTTTATTTGTCAGGGAAGTCTTAAATTATACAGGCATTAGCCTATTACTTGATTAATGCTTGTTTTGCTCACCTAAAAGTATATTTTCAAGATAATAAACATAAGTGGTCTTATATTTGGTCTGAACCTGTTTTTAATTTTTTATATTTAAATATATAAAAAAAAAGATATATATATATATAAGTAGTTTCAAGTAGCACAATGACATACTGTAACGTATACCTGTTTCAATCAGACTAGTTAACCTGAGACTTGGACTGCCTGAAGACTTGACTTGATACTTGCCTCAAAGCAAAAACACTGGTGTCTACTTTTGACCTTGTAAAATAGGCCACACACCTTAAATATTTAATCATTAGGTCTATTAATTAAAATAACTTCTTGTTTAAAGATTTAAAAAAAGTAGAAACATGTTTAAATTCTTGTTCTTTTAACCGTGAAGCATTCACATACCTTGCAACTGAAGTCAAAGTCTTGTGACTTAGACTTGACCTCAATGTGCTTGACTTGAGATGTGCATTGACAGGATCTGTGGCTAGAATTTCTATGGATTTGATCAACACTGCATAATATGACTTTCTCTGAAGAAATTATTGGTTTAATTTTATTTTTAATTTGAATCCGTCATGCTGTCTGAAGACTGAAATATACCATTCTGAACACCTTTCCTCTTTGTCTTTCTTCTCACCACAGCAAGGGAGGAGAACGTGGCCACTTTCCGTGGCTCGGAGTACTTCTGCTATGATCTTTCCCAGAACCCCATCCAGAGCAGCAGTGACGAGATTACGCTCTCCTTCAAGACGTGGCAGCGCAATGGCCTTATCCTTCACACCGGCAAGTCAGCCGATTACGTCAACCTGGCGCTGAAGGACGGCGCTGTCTCCCTTGTTATTAACCTGGGCTCTGGAGCCTTCGAGGCAATTGTGGAGCCAGTCAACGGGAAGTTCAACGACAACTCGTGGCACGATGTCAAAGTGACCCGTAACCTCCGCCAGGTAAGGTCCAGAGGTGTGGGGTATTATGTGAATGAGGGAATACTGTCAGTCTTAAAATCTTATCTTAATGAATATTGATGATGATGATGTGTAGCAGTTGAGTTGTCACGTGCTAGCTAGCCGGTAGCATGCTGTTAGCGAGCCACAACAGCCTGCTAAGTTTGACCTGCTCATTGTCAGTCAGCTTGCTAACTGCCACTTAGCAAGCTAGCTATCTTGGCTGCTAACCTGATATGATACCTCTTATGTCATGATTGACTGCAGACAGTGTGGAGTTAATATTAAAGTATAACATTGGATGGTGCATCTCATCTTCTATGATAGCTTCCGTTGTTTTGGACTCTTCAGATGACTATTGCCTCAAAGGTTGGCAGTAAATCTGTGCAATATGACCAAAATGACCACTTAGAAAGACCACTTTCCAACCATGTTGCAAACAAAATAAAACCATGCCAATGCAACAGAAGTAGCCTGTATATTGTATAGGTAGGTACGAGCCATTTTGACATAGTGGCCGAACTGTGTCCATCATGTGAGGCACACTGGCCAAAAATGGTGAATATATTTTTTGGAACATCACAACCCCCCAAAAAAACTTGTTTCACTATCAGAATTTGTTCCATTCGGTCTAGTAACATGTTGAAAGTCTAGAAGATCAGCACGAATAAATCATTTATCCCTATTCAAGTTAACTATGTGGGCCACTGTGGCCCATAGGGCTTGCACAGTATGCATTCATCTGGGTAATGTCGTTGCAGTGGGTATTGGGTTTTTTGGCTTCACACGCCACTGAACAGCTTTCATAGGAATTAACAGGCCGCTGTATCCAATGTTGTATCCAGTTCTCTTTATACATCCCTGGTTCTGTTTCACGTTCATTTTCCTCCAGATTTAATTTGCATAATAAGTGAAATGCCACTGATTGTGGCACTAACACTGAAATGTACTGATTTTGCTGTAGACGTTGCTGTTATAAATGCTGATGTAATGGGCCTCCATCAAAGATGGATCCAGTTGCTAAATGTGTTGAATTAACTGACCTCACCTCATCCTTAAGTAGGATAGTGAATCCCAGATGTTTTAAATGTTTTGTAAATGGGTAGCTCTCTGTAGCTTATTTCAGCTAAAGCAACAACATTTTTTTTTTTTTTTTTGGTATGATGCTGTTTGCTTTTTCTTTCAGTGTCTTATTGTACACCAGGTCTGATTTTCCTACTGCCTGTCATCTTAGCTTTTTCTCCATCAGTCAAGACATTGCTGCACATTTCATGATGTTATTAGGCTGCTTCCTTTCTCTCTTTCCATTATCTCTTTTTGCCTCCTTATCTGTCTGTGGACAGACGTTTTATGGGGTGATCATGGGGAGAGGCTCCAGTCATCCAAGACCTCTGCTGATTACCCAAGACTGATCTTCCATTCAGCTGTACAGTTTCTCACCAACCTGCATGTTTAGATGTAAATAGACACTAACATCCAAGCAAAAATGCGGGTGGGGTAAGGGTTATCCTACCTTTCTACGCTGCATAGACTGTAGCTGACATGAAGAAAAAACATATCCACAACAGATGTTAAAATTTTAATAATTTGATAATTTGGCTGATAAAAAAAAAAAAAAAAAAAAAAGCTTTGGATAGCTTTTTGGATACGTCTGACCGTATTCATTTTCCAAAACTTGCGTCTATTTCCACCTGTTAACCTCTACCACTGTCAGTCCTGGTACGACTCTCCTTGAAAGTAGCGACTTCGGGGATTGAAATGAACCGTTTTGTTTTACTAACGTGTACTAACCTTCACATTTCATCTTTTGGTTTCATTTGATTTACTTTACTGTTTTCACTCACACTGGTTTCTCACCTACTCCACCTCTCTGCAAAGCAAACAGGCATTGGATTCGCTATGGTAAACACACTCCATTGTATGGTAGATATCATTCTTATTGTCATTTTTGGTTTGCTGTGTACTTCTCCCTGTCCTCTTTTTTGACTTCTGCACATTAAGATACAATCCCCCCAAAAACAAACAAGGAAACGGGTTTGTATTCCCAAACTTTCGTGTTGCCCTTCCTTTTATTCACCTTGTTCATCCACTGTTGTTGCTTCTCTGCTTTCCTTTTTAATCTCTTCCTCTTTTTTTTGTCACCCATACGTTTTGCTTCTCTAGGGTTTTACTAATTCTCCTTAATTCCAGATGAGATTTTTCTGTTCAGTGTTTTTTGGTGATAATATTGTGGAAACTGCCACAGTTATACAGCGACCAAAAAAAAGATCAAAGTCACGCTGGTAATCTTGACTGTTGTCCTGTACACTATGTCCATGGCCTTACATGGACTGAATCCTCCTTACACCAGACTGATCGTTTTCATTCACATTCCCAAACAACTGAAAATACGAGGCGACCCACACTGCAGGAAGAAAATGGGATAAGAAAATATTATTATTAATACATTAGGAACAGACTTTTACCTGGGGAGACACATTTTTATATAAATGAAAGCTAATGAAACCATAAAAACAACTCCATGTATAACAGTAAAAAAAGGGGATGATAAGGGTTGAGAGAGGTCCTGGCCTGGTTGGCTGTGATACTGAAACACTAGCAGGGCTCAGGTGTGTGGTTTCCATCCAACACTTACTTAAGCTAAACAGCAGGTGAATGCTAAGGATTCTCCACCTTCAGCTACTTACCCATTTGTTTGTCCTTTTCCCGGCTTCATATGGCACACGGTGCTAGAAAGAAACAGGACTCTGACTGGTATTGGAATTCCTTGAATTGTGATATTTTGAAAGTCTAAAATACTTGTAAAATACTCCATCACACATTCCAACTTTTGTTAGTATTATCGGCAAATTATTCAGAAGTGCTCACTATGCATTATGGTCCCTTCCAGCACGTTGTATTTTTTAGTGTAGTATATATATGTTCGGAACGGAGCCAAAGGCCTACCAGAAGCTGCTGAGCCCAGTTCTGTTGCCCCCTTGCCTGGGTCTGGTTCTGATACCCATTCCCACCAGCATTCCTTGAGCTCCCTGTCATAGACATATATCTAGCTAATAGGTCCGCTAGCTGCACGGCTAACTTAGCTAAAGGCAGCTACAGTTAGCAGCAGGTAGTGGTTACACTGGTGATATGCTGCCCCTTATGTTTTTGGACTAGGAATTTGAACTGGTGGCCAGTTCTTACATTGCACCTTTAAGTACAGTACTTGAATGAATGCGTTTAGTTACACTCTACCTCTGCTGTAGTTTTCCCTGCAGTGGGGGTCTATCCTCTGCCATTCTGTTTCCTGCATGTTTGCATTTCTGTGGTGTGACATTATTTTTTGGTCGGTTCCTGCATGTTGCTTCTATTACATTATATTCGTTAGTTTCTTTGCTCCCTCACTCATTTAGACGCAAAATAATATTAAACAAAACCGTGAACACTAGATGGTTTGTGCATCACTAGTGCTACATACAGATTATGTATCAGAATATCAGTGTATGTTTGTCAGTGTCTGCAGCTAAATTCACCCAGTTATCATCTCTGTTTTGACATTTTACTAACCCTTCATATCTATCAATAGTTTCCCACAAATAGCATCTACTAACTCACATAAAAAATAAAGAAAATTGTGGGCTGACAGATTTTCTTTATATCTATCCTGTGTGATTCATAACAAAGATACACACACATCACCAGCTCTGAAATTTATATTTCACACAGACCTGAGTTCCAAAACAACACTGTAGGCCACTGTCTGTCCTCAAAATCCATTTTATTTCCACCCTCACTGTTCACTCCTCATTGTCAGGTGACGATATCAGTGGACGGGATTCTGACCACCACGGGCTACACCCAGGAAGACTACACCATGCTTGGATCTGATGACTTCTTCTATGTTGGTGGGAGCCCCAGCACAGCGGACCTCCCTGGATCTCCAGTCAGCAACAACTTCATGGGCTGTCTCAAGGAGGTAATGTGTCTGATTCAGTGTTTACTGTTTGTAGTTGATTTGGGAATGTTTTGATGTGTTTATATTAAGTTTATTATCAGTTTTCAGTTAAATATGAGGTATTACTTATCTGGCTAGATTTCTTTTTTTTTTCATTTGCCTTTAGAGATTTTTTTCTTTCACATAAAATAGAGATGAAGGTTTGTGGAAACTGTAGTGAACATACACATTACAATAAGTTCACATAAAATTGCACTGACCAATTTTTGACAACATCTCCAAAACAAGCTGTCAGACAGTCCAGACCCTCCCTGTCGGCTGAACAATATTATTGTCCCAATGGAGTCGTGTGTCTGTCCACTAGACAAAGAGGGGGTAGTTGTCTGATCACTGGCCTTCCTTGAGAAAAATATTTGTCTGTTTAACTGCTAGCTGCTGCTTAAAGATGCATATGAAGCAACTACCATGTGATACAATATGATTCGTCCCTATTGGGATGCAGTGCTATTTCGCACTGTTGTGCACCTTTGTCTCTGTCCCTGTCCCACCTAGAGTCGGGGTCTGTCTGAGGTTTCTGCCTCTTAAAAGGAAATTTTTCCTTGCCACTGTCACCAAGGTCTTGCTCATGGTGGTACTGTTGGGTCTCTGTAATTAATGTTTTAAAGAGTTCGGTCTAGACCTGCTCTATTTGAAAAGTGTCCTGAGATAACTTCTGTTATGAATTGGCGCTATACAAATAAAATTGAATTGAACTGAATTATTCGACACGATTTGATCCAACACAATGTGATTCACTGCGATGCAAAAGAATATGATGCTGTTCAATATGGTACAGATAGTTTGATTTTGTTTCTTTGGTTCTTCTTAAGCAGATTTTAGAGAGGAAGAATCAATATAAATAAATATAACATTATTGATCACAGTTTTACATAATAAAGGCATAGGGCCTCTACTAATAATTATAAATAAATCAGATTTTACCGATGCAGAGATTTGGAAACGATACATCCCAAGTTCATCCCAAATTGTATTGATGCACACTCTTTTAACCGGTGCAATCTAATCGTGCCGGTGCACCAATGAGAATCAGTGACTCTCACCATCCCTACTGTCAGTACTGTCAGTACTGTCTGTACTGGTGTTGGGCAGGTGGCGTACAGTGGGCTTGTTTGCTGCAGTGTCTGAAAATGGGATTGATGAGAGCAGTGCTGTTCAACCACACAATAAATCTACATGCCACAGTCAAAGTCTTTATCTGTGAAAACAGCTGTGGAGGTAAAGCCTGGAATCACATGTGCTCCTTAACCATCCTGTGGTTGCTCGGTAGCTCAGGGTGTGTACTGAAAGCTTTAAACTGACAATGTCAGTGTCATGCTTGGATGTTAGTTATATCTGTTAGGAATACCATGGTCGCTGAATCTCACTGTATTGCTGTAACCTTACTGTATTTTCCTGTCTCTAAATATATGTCCCTTTATTTAGGGCTGCCAAATCTTTTCCCTTGGATGGCCGAAACAAACTATTGTATTGTATTGTTAAGATGGCAAATGTCACTAAGTTCCCACTCTCCCTGATGAAAATAATATTTAGGAATCAGTTTAGTTTTACCTGACAAAAATAAAGCAACAATCAGTGGTTTGTGTTTTATTTTTTTAAATATTTAATTTTATATTGTTAGTACACATTAAAATCACAAAAGTTACACCATTGTTTCCTTGAAAAATTGATAAAAACAAAAGTATGAAAAACACAGCAGGTCATCAAAACTAACATCTTTGTTAAAGGCAGGTTAGAGAACCTTTCTTTATGGAATTGTATTGCCTACACAAAGTAAAAAATAGATATCCCCTGTGATGTCAGTCTCTCCTAATAATGACTCAGTATAAAATCATTATTTTTAAATTATTAATTAAAATAAAATACAGAGAGCATGACAGAGGTCTGTCACACAATCTAAGTAACAGAACTTTATGAGTTATGAGGACTCTCAGCAGCATCCAGTGCTTTAACTGACATTTCAACTCCTATCAGCAGTTACACAGTTACGTTACTCCTTCTTAAATTCTAAGTCTTAAAATTATTTCTCAACTGCTGTCAGCTCAGCCTCCAGCTGACATTTAAACTGTTATCAGTGCCTACATCTTATCTGCTTTCAGTGCTTACATTTTCTTTTATCATGATTCAGACTTCAAATGACACTTTACAGTGTTTACACTGAAAACAGTGGTAACAGATGTCAACTGCTCTCAGCATTGTCACTTTAACTAATGTCATTACTTAAAGTGCTTTCATCACTAACACCTCAATTGACACTTCAACTCCTTTCAGTGACCCCTTGCATTGCTCCAGCTTCAAGTTACACTCAGACTCCTTTTTAAGGGCATCAACTTTCTCACTTCCAGCTCGTCAAATATAGCAGCTTGGTCAGTGGCCCTATGCTTCAAAACATGACGCCATAGGAGCCCTTACATCATTTATGTGCCATCAAAGTCAGCTGACATAGTATAAAAAGTCTATGTTTGGAGGACGTCTTTAACTCAGGAGAACGCTGTTCGTGTCCCGTTTGAAACCAAATAACGTTGTGGCTAGCTATGTAGGTATGTAACTTTTATAAAAATAATTTATCAAAGTTACATACTGCAGCTTTAACTTGCATTACGTTCTGTACATAAACTTTCATACTGACATACTTATGACTTATTACTATACAAACCACCAAGCTACGATTGTTTAAACTCATAACTTGTGAAATATTTCTCAGCAAGTTTTATCTTGAAAGTCTAACCGGACATTGCATATTCATTATTGCTAACTTGACCGTGGAGCCCTGCATATGCAAAACTGATGCTAGAGTTACACCTACAGGCCCATGAGTTTGAAGTGGCCACTGAGGCCACTGACCAAGCTTTGCATTTGATGGGTTGGTAGTAAGAACGTGTTGATATACATACAGTATATCAGATAAAATTTATCATGTGGTCAAATAAATCAAGATTACTGTAAAAGTTTGCAGAACCGACTGAAAACTGGGGAATGAAAGGGTCAGCAAGTAATCTTTGCTATTTTGATTTTGCTTCCGCTACAAATACTGTTGTAATTCACTGCATTAAAGTGGAGCCTCAGTAGGACCATGTTGAGGGAGAGTTGCCCCATGGAGTTAACCCACCCACACACACACACACACCTCCACACACACACAAAAAATATTGTTCCCTCAAGCTGATGATGTCATTTCTTAGCACTTGACTGGAGCCAGTTACACACACATACACACAGTACACAGCATCATATGGGCTGCAAGGAGAGGGAGGAAGAGGCGCAGTGGCCATTTAATCCCCCCCTGGCCTACTTCCTGCTCTGTGCCATGCCATGCTGGGCAGGTTTTGTGATTCCCTGTACCACCCACCCCTGACACACACGTACATGTATACACACCCACACACATCCACATACAAATAGAAACACGCACACCCAAACATGCACATTAGTTATGAGTCTTTTATTTTCTCATGATGAAACACAGAGATAGCAAGGATAAAGGTGGTGTCACATAACCAATATGACACACACACACACACACACACACACACACACACATATTCATGAGGGCTTGTGCACGCTCACACACATATGGTACAGGTCATTAATAATGTCCAGATCAGCTATTAAAACAGCTTACTGCTTAAAACTTAAAAACTGCACATAAGCATAATGTTTCAGGGTTTGATTTATTATTATTATTTTTTGTAACTAAATGAAATGTCACATATGCTTTCATTATTTTACAAAAAATAAATGTTTCCTACTATCATCAAAAAATATAGCAAACTGACTTATATTAAAGAATGTTGATAAAAGTGTTTATATTTGGTTGTACTTGGCCTTCCCACTATGTACAACAGTGAATGTGTGTGAATTTCTAGTTTGTGTGTTCATACTTTGCTTTGACTTGATTTATTTTTACTTCACAAATGCTTTTCTTCACGTTGCTTTATTTAGCATTGCACTAGCATATTGTCACACAAATCAGCTTAAACAAAGGATCAGAACTAATGCAGTTGTACGCAGCTGTAGGACGTTTTCAGGTCCAGTGTATAGGATTTAGTGGTATCTAGTGGGATATTTGCAGATTGCATCTCTCGCCCCCTCTTTTTCCAAGCGCCAGGGAGAATCTACGGTGGCCATGAAATGTGTGAAAAACTAGTGCCCCTATCTAGTGTTTGCTTTGTCCATTCTGGGCTACTGTAGAAACATGGCGGTTCAACATGGCGGCAGCCATGAAAGGCAACCTGTGACATCTGTAGATAAAAACAGCTCATTGTAAGATAACAAAAACACAACAATGATTATTTTCAGGTGATTATACACTAATGAGAACATACCTATGGATATTATATTCCATTTCTGACAATAGATCCTCCTCAATGTTACACACTGGACCTTTAAGTGTTTATCAGTGTACAGTATACAAAACAGCTCGCTAATCTAAATCAATCGTTAGCTACCTAGTTGCATCTGAAAGTTAATGTTAGCAAAACAAATTTACATCAGTAATTTGTGAGGTAGTTAGCTAGCATTTGCTAAATTAAGATGTGACTCTATGTAGCCTATGCCACTTTTATCTTTCAACTATCCTCAAAATGTGGCTTCTTTCATCATACACAAGCTGGTACATAGCATATCCAAGTACAGGAAAGGAGAAAGTTGACTGAGGTTCCACCAGCTAGCAAGCTTGCTCAACTGTCATTGGAGCACAGAGCAAAAAGGTGCGAGACTTAAGCGCCGTCCACACCAACAAGATTAAATGTACAATGTAACAATAACTAAAACAATGAAATTAAATTATTGTTTGTGTAATTTGTAGGCTAATATTTCATTGTACAGGAGATTTATAAGTTGTATACCACAATATCATCAATCAAAGTCATTTTCCTCGGGATAAATAAAGCTTCTTGAAATGACTCTGAAAGGGATCCCAACGATACTGCTCACCACTGTCATTATATTAAGAACATTTATTT